AATTTTTTAATTTAGATTGAAATGTTCAATTACATTGACATTACTAATAAATTATTTCTTGTGTACCTGTATCATTATAGCTTTTGCATTGTAATAATTGCGTATTGACCTTCATTATGTTTCTATTTTATTATTGATACATTTTAGAAACTGATATGCGTACATATAATTATTTTGATGTTATATTTTTTATTATTTTTTATTATATCCTGTAATATAATGTAATAAAATATTATTGCAATTTTTTGTGTAGATTTCTTATATTTCCTTATATGTTTGTATCTGTTTAATAGGAATTTTTTGATGTTAATGCAATTTATGATATATTCCCCTTATCATCAACAAGCATCACAATAGGAAGAACACTGTGTACAGATGAGGCAATTACTCAGGCTGTATGTGTTACGGCATTGTTTATGCTCGGCGGTTCCGATCCAACACAACTTAATACTGTATAGTGTATACATCTAATATATGTATTTAGTTTAGCATGATTTTGCTAATTGTAACACTTCCACTATTTTTATATTTTTTTAAGACTAAAAATAGTATTTATTTCGTAAATTTATATTCTATATTTTAATATGCAAATCAAAAATTGTTTTTAATAAAATTATTCATTTCAGACAATTTTACCAAAATTTTTTTCGTATTTTCCGGCCGGATTATCCGTGCAAACATTATCTCATTATTCTCAAAATATTATGACAGGTAAATATTCCTTTCCGATATAAACTGTTAATCATAAAAACTATATGCTTTAAAGCGTACCTAAATGTTTAATAATGTTATTTGTTTTTATTTTTACTTTTTTCATTCTCTCTATTATTAATATATAAGTTAACCGTCCCAGTAGTAATTTTAGTAATTCTTTTAATCATGTCGTTCATAATGTGATATTTAAATAAAAGCTAAACTTTGTAAACATTTTCTAATTTAAATTTTATTGTATTTACGTACATAATTAATATTTGTTATAGAGAAATTTCAAGCGTATGATTATGGATATTTGGGCAATTACAAACAATATGGACAGATGACACCTATTATGTATGATTTTAAAAAAGTTACCGTTCCCTTGGCTTTATTTTACGGCGCTCATGATTTTCTTGCTCCAAAATTGGTAAGATCACTGTTGATTCTAATATATGAATCTCTTTATAATCATTTCTTGATTAAAAAATATGTATATAATAGAAAAAAATATATATAAAAAAGAAAAATAAAATTGAATAATTTATATATACATATATATACATAAAGTATGATTTGATTGATTTATAACAAAAATTTTATTTGTTCATGCAAGCTATAACTGATTTAGGTGAAAAATCGAAAATATTTTTTCTTTTTAAATAATTTAAGATCATTTTAAATTTTGTAATAGAATTGTGTGACTTTTATTAATATTATATGAAATATCTTCTCTCATTGTCTTCTTCCCAATTTTCTCCATTTTTTCCTTTTTATTGTTTTTTTTCTTTCCTTTTTTTCTTCTATCTTCTCTCTTATTTTATCTGCCTATATTAGTATTTATATACATATATGAAAACAATCTTTAAGTATTAATTACTTATATTTCTCTTATTATTACTAATTTTATTATCTTCTATATTCTTATTTCCAGAATGTTCTCGAGACATATAAACACTTGCCAAATGTTATTCTGTTGGAGGAAATTACACATAAATTATTTACGCATTTCGATTTTGTAATAGCCATAGATGTTAAAACTCTATTGTATGATCGTGTAATAGAACTACTTCAAAGGTTTCGTAATCGGACATGAACAATCAATGGTTACACTAATTTATATCTATTAGGACTATTGTACTTAGGACTTTGTACCTAAGACTATATGTCTGATACTTTGTTGTTAAAAACATTTATCTACTTTTGGTACATAAAAAAACCCATATCTCTAATATCTTTCTCCTTCTCTCTCTCTCTCTCTCTCTCTCTCTCTCTCTCTCTCTTTCTCTTTCCTTCTCTCTCCCTCTATCTTAATAGAAAAATTAATCGAATTACTA